AAAAAAAAAAAAAAAACAAGGAGGAGGGGTCAAGGTAAAGCCAAGGTAACAGTTGTCTTAAAAGATAGCCACCACAGTTACAAAAGCAACTTGGAAGTATTATAAAGCAGGATTCCTCAACCTTGGCAACTTTAAGACGGGTGGATTTCAACTCCCAGAATTCCCCAGCCAGCCTGGGAGTTGAAGTCCACCCGTCTAAAAGCTGCCAAGGTTGAGGAATCCTGCTTTATAATACTTCCAAGTTGCTTTTGTAACTGTGGTGGCTATCTTTTAAGACAACTGTTACCTTGGCTTTACCTTGACCCCTCATCCTTGTTTTTTTTTTTGTCTTCCTAGGACCATTTTATATGTGACCCTATACCTGCATTGGTGTAGGACAAAAATGTAGTAAATGTTTGATCAGCTATATATGAAATCACATATTTGTTTTGCCATGATCATGTTTAAAAGGTTCTCTAAAAACTGTGGTTATCACACATGATGCAACATACAATATGTTTTGCACAGTCATCTCTGTCTATAGAGATTTATTTATAAAGTGACTTTTTAGAAATGGACTCTCAAGAATTTCTTTTATTTACTGTTAATATATCATTCTAACAAAAACCACCTATTTATCCCCACAGTTTCACTTTGTGCAATTGATACCAATCTGTCTTCAGCCATCTGTCTATATCTAGAGTTGTACAGAATTTTGCTATATGTTTATTCATTTGATATGCTGCTTGCACAGAATTCTCAGATACTAAACTATTACCCTTCATTGCATTTATTAGCTAGTGTTTATTGTTAAATGAAGCTTTTATCATGTAGACTTGGTAGTATGTTTAAACTAAAAATTAAATACAGATTTAATCAAAATTAAAATAGATTAATAATTTCACACAATATTATTTACATAGCATTTATATACTACAGATAGAATAAGTATATATCATTGTCTTTTTCACCTAAACATGTAGGCATACCATTCTAATTTGGTTGCATTTTGGTAACTTTGTAGCTTGTTCCATATGACATTTTGGATTCATTTCCTTAAAAAATGTGTATTGTGATATGGGGATATTTTCTTGTACAAAGAGGCCAAAAACCTCATTCAGTGTAATCAAGACTTTTAATGTATCTCAAAACACTTCTTAGATCTTGACCTTTATGATCCCTTTTGGAATCAATTATTTCATTATTTATTGCTGTTCTAAACTTTTTTTTACCATTGTTAGTTTGCTTTGATGTCCTGAAGATGAATCTTGAAAGTTTTCCATTAATGTTATAATGAACATTTACAATTTTGGGAAAGTACTTATTTGACTAGTTTTATTTATTAGGAATGTTTCTGACATCTGATAGTTGAGTACATTATTTTGATTATTTTTTTTTATTGCAGATGTTCCTTTACTTTGGTGAGCATGGCCTAGCAACATGCTCTGCTGATCACCTTATTATTTTGTGGAAAGATGGAGAACGAGAGTCTAGACTGCGCAGCTTAATATTATTTCATAAGTTAGAACAGACTGAAGACTTTCACTTAAGGTCTGAGATGAAGTAATGTATAATATATTAAATAATTTTAAATAAGCTGTTTATATTAAATATTTAAAACAACTGTGGATACAATTTTGTGCTTGAATGTTTTAAAATATGTAATTGAGGGTTTTTTTCTTACTGAATTTGTCATGAATTTAGATGAATGAGGAACCAGTGCTGTTAGTTTCCACGTAGAAACCAAATTTGGTCCACTGGCCTTCCTATTTAGCCCGCAATGCCTTTATCAAGGACATTTCCAAATTTTGGATTCTTCACCAGATAAATATACCAAGGTTCTGATGGTGCCTGAGAGCAGCGCTTTGTTTATTCCTTATCTTTCACTAACGGAAAAGATGAAGGGCAAATGAAACCAAGGATCCAGTGTACAAAGAATTTGAATTCAGTCACTAGCTCTCCGGATTTTTGCTCACCTCTTCCTTTTTTCCAAAATGAGTTTAAAAGTTCTGGCTGCTCCTCTTTGAGAGTCGGGTGATGCCTGTGGCTAGGACTTAATTCCTGGCTGCTGTCATTTGGCCCTCTCCCTTGGGCTAAATCTTTTTCCTTCCTGTACTACTGAAGCAAGAAAGCTTTTGAAATCAGAGTAGCACGTGTTAGCAGAAGAATGTTTTTGCCAATTCTATGACATAATGACATTAGATACTAGGGCTGTGTAGCACTTTGGATTGAAAGGCATAGGTATTTCAGAGACTGTGGGGGCACTCACATAACATCTGCCGACAGTTACTTAGAGCGGCTGATTGAATTCCCAGGACTGCATGGCTGCCCTTTGCCAGATCCCAGGAAAAGCTGAATTGGGTTCAAGGAATGGCAGACAGATACTGCATGAGTACTCACATGCTCCAAAGCGCCTTTTTGACTTTGAATCCAAATCACTGTACAGCCCTATTAGACATTGTACAAAATAAACTTTTGAGGTAAAGGATCTCACTGAATAATTTGCCAGCTGCAGTATTTTGACAAAGTAGTGTAGTCTATATTTGTTTTTCAAAGTCTCTGTTACATAGGACGGTTTGAACAAAAAACGTTATTGTGCAAGTCAGTAGAAGTAAGCTGAAACTTATCAGTGCAAAGCTGGCTTTGATGAGGAATTCTGCAGGCCAAAATTCTTTGCTAACAAAGCACTACAAGTAAAACACAGGACTGCAGGATTCCTGAAACTCAGGGCTCCTGTGGCATATTTGCATTATTCTAGTCTTCATTGTTTATTATTTTGTGCCTGATAAGCTGAATAGCATGAATGCAGAAAAATAAAATATGGGCATATATATAAAGATTTGAATTCACGTTTTATTTCACAAGTGAAAACAGCTCTTGAGCAGAGTTAATGCAGAACACTTCCAGTGAAAGCAGAATGTTTCTTTTTCCCTTTTGGATACACAGGGCCTTATCACTTCCATTGTTTTGGACAATATCCCTGCCAAATTTTTTTGAAGCAGTTGGAGAAGGGAAGGAGGATTCTCCTGCTGGATCAAATCTGATCTAAATAAAATGGCAGCTAAGGCTATATGAATAAAAGTTAATTAAAATTTAATCAGATATAGGCTTTGATAGAAACATACTGTAATGGCAATGATGAATTCTGCAGTGAACACAACATTTTTAAACACAATGTAGCACTTTAATACACAGCAACCAAAGTTAGGTCCTATTACAATTTTAACAAAAATATAGCTTTTGTACATTTCTCAGCATGGGAATTATGAGGGTATAATACTATTTTACGTAACTTGATACAAAACATTGAAAAATGTTGGCACGTTCTGTAAGCTACAATCATTGTCATTTTTCAGTTACTTCACCTGTTTTATTTTCTCTGACTCTGTACAAAAGAGAACCAGAGTCCTTTTTGATGGGCAATATACTACTTTACATTATATGTCAATTTTTCAAGAGCCTCTTATAAAGCACAATATAAAATATTAGTTAAGTAGAATAATGTTTGAGTAATAGCCAAGTAAGTTGAAGATTGTCTAAGCTCATTAGCTTATTTAAAGAATACTTCTATTTTAATGAAAACCAGAAGTCATGGTATTGAAAAAAAACAACTTCAGTTTGTTAGGAATAGCTCCTATGTGATCTCAATTTAAATCAATGGCAGTTGTTTAAAAGCACAGTTTTCATTCATTGTCCAGTGCAAGCCCCCTCACAGTCTTCCCTTATGATTAAAGTAAACGTAAAAATATTTGTGCTTTGGCGTCTAAGGTAAAAACTTCATACTTGAATGAGAAAATTACATTCAGTATATGAAACACAATTTCATTAGGGCTATATTATTTATTTTGTTTTAGTTTTTTTTTTAAGTACATCTTTTTAACGTTAGAGGTTTTTCTATTCAGCATATATGTGGTTTATGTTCTTAACAGTAAGATCTTCAGCGTAATTGCTATGGCTGCAATCCAGGACATCAAGGCACTGGGGTTTCTTACCCCTCATAGAGGGATGAGCATCCATTTCCCTTCTCCAAGAAAGAGGGTTGGAGGCCTTTGTATGGGTGTAGGTTCTGGAGATTTTCTATTAATATGGCTCATATATTACATAATATATAAACAGGATTTCTTTTATTTACGGCTTATGTGTATAAAGCATCTGTCACTTTCTGCTCATAAGATCTGTACCAGCCATCCCTATTCTAAGCATGTAGATGTAATCTGGAACTGTACAACATCATAGAGCATGACATACTGTTGCAGATGCAAAGGAATGTTTTAGGATGGGGTGCTAGTTGTTCATTTGACTACTTGTCTAGATTTTCATATATGGCTGATGTTACCTATAAAAAGGCAGAGAAAAGTATGGATTTGTTTAATTCGTATCATTAACTATAATTTTCTAAAAGATTAGTTTAACAAGCAAGACACATATAAGGATTTTTTGTGTATAGAAATCACAGTGTGCAGCAAGTCCTCACTGTAACAAAGGGCCAGTGATGGAGCTATCTCTGTGCATACAAACTTGCCCCTGATAATGAAATCTGCTCGGAAGCCTGCATAGGGAGGAGAGCTCTATGCACAGACAGGCTTGGATCATAGTAGTCATAAGTGTATAAATGAGAAAAGTCTGACAGATCAGCAATTATATTAAGAAAATATTTGCCATTCAATGAGTCAAGACATGAGTTTTTTGCTGTACTAATTGAAAGAAAGCAAGCAGATGGGTTCTTATAAGACTGACCAGCTGTCTAAAGGGGTTAGATCTCTGGCTCCCACTGCTATTGCAGGAGGAAACCAGAGATCTGTGGTGGATCCTGGGATTAGATACAATGGGAAATGAGTGTTTGGGTGAGACACTAGGGTGTCTGTGGGTGAAGGATTCAAGTGTGCACAACAACTTGAGTTGTTCTTGGGGTCAAAAAAAGTGACCTGTGTATAATGTAAAAGATACTTGCTACGAACAAAGCTTTTCTAAAATAAACTTTAAATTAAATATCGTACATAATTTTTTTTCAAAGAAGCTACTTTTTCATTGCTTGATATTCTTTTATGTGTATAAGTGATTTTGGCTCACTTAATAAACTATATATCATTTGACAAATTACAACAATTTTAGAAAACTACCCTTAAAAGGATCTGTTGTTCCACAAAAAACAGGATAGCTTTTATAAAGCATTTGTCTCTAAATTATCTCCTTTATAAAAAAAAAAAAAAAGCCCATAGTTTTATAGAATTTTGAACTATTTAAAATTGAGAAACAATACTTTTCTCCTCATTTCCCAGTTGGTTACTTCATTGTGAAGGAAATTCTACCCTTCTTGGGTCCATACCAGTATATGGTTCACAGTGTAAGTGGTAGGCTATGATCTTTCTCTTGTTCTCTTCAGCTTCCAAGATTATTCTCTGAAGGAAGACGAAGGCTCCGACACTTTGATTCATCTAATTTTTTCCAGTGTTTGTAGTTATTTGCTAGATGTTGCATCAGATCAGGTAGATGTGCAAATGCTGAGAGATAACGGGGAGGGGGGATTGGGGGGAAGCAATGCCATACTTATTTTAAAAAAGCATGAACAATTTCTGCAGTCTTTCAGCCTTTGTATTAGAATGACCAACTGTTCGCTTTATGCAAAGAATCGTTTAATATGCTTAGCCAGCAGCACAACTATGTAACTTACCCTCTTATTCAAATTTTTTTTCCCCAAGTACAGCCTGCAACAGAATGTGGGATGTCATTTCCAGTTTAAAACTGAATAACGTTTTGCACATGTTCATTAACAGATTTGCTCCATCATGCATCTGACTTAGTCATTTTTAAAAGTACATGAAAATGTATATTTAAATATTTGTGAAATTTGGATAAGTAGGTAATTACATTCTGATTCATATAATTACATTCCAATTTATTTACGGAAGGTGCAAATCCACTGAGTTAATTTCAGAGTCCTCCAGTAATGAAACCTTGCTGTACATCCCAGCTTTTAACATTTTCCCCACTAACAATCATAGTCATTCTGTGGGCACTGAGCATGGCCAGTCCTCATGGAACTGGTTTTCATCATACCCCTATATTGTCTGGGATACCATGCAATTTTTCCTACTGATATCTCTTCCTTTTGTAGGTGGATGATTTCATTTTGCCTATACAATAAATAAATCAGTGTTTCTGCCAGATTTAAAAACAAACAGCTGTAAAATTAGGGTTTTGGTTAAATCCCATACAGCTGTCATTTAAAAATAATCTCTCTCCCTCCAGGCTAGCCTTTTAAAATAGTGTTAAAAATACTTTAGCACTAGTACTTTCAATTAGGAAGGCCACATAATCAGTGGGAACAGGTACCCCCCCCCCTTTCCCCAGTATCCTCTTGCCAAAATGATGGTGCCTGGCTAGGAAACATCCCGCAGAGTGTACAATAATGCAAGGATCAAGGATATTCTTAAATGCATAATCCCTGTGGGGCTATTTCTCAAAATAGTAAAAAATGCATTCTTCAAAAGTGAAAAGGAAAAATGGAAATTCTTACCATCCCAAGCATCAAACATGTCCATTATAAAGTAATCAATGAAGGATATCTGAGACTTAGGGATGCTGCAGGTGTTTCGATCAAATACGGGCATCACAACCGGTAGGCCCTGTTTCTTTTCTTCATCAGTCTGCAGGGGGAATTTTTCAACTTTACAACCAGGATGAAAATTACAAAAGTAAATTAAGTCCATTGTATAATCAATTATTGGGTTAAAGCTGATCTAGCAAAGAAAGCTTAAATGTATCAGTGAAAAAACAGAAACTTTTGCTGGCAACTGAAAATGTGATCCTAAATGAAAGTGGATCAGAAGGAATTATCTGCTACCCCACTTTTTATAAGGGGAAATAATTTGGGATTGGTAAATAATTTTCTGCTTTAACCAAAGTATCCTAAGATAAACAGAAGTTTTACAGATCATGTGCAAGAGAAGTAGCATTTCACTTCTTATTTAGGATTATTTTGCTGCTGCTTTTCTCATACACAATTTAGATCTCAGGAATAAGACCAGAATTCCTCTTCTCAGCCATTTAATATGGTGGGAAGCTGATGTTATGGCTCTGGCATTAGACACTGTCTCTTACAAGATGATTGAGAAGCAGATTGTCCATTTTAATATGATGTTAATCACACAGAGTCAAATATGTAAGTAGGGCAACTACACAAATGGAATAATTTTTTTTTAAATTGGGGAATGGGAAATAGTTGTTCACCAAAGTAAAAATGATTACATTAAACTTTTCATGTTAATTTGATTACTTCAGAAACATTAGCTTTTAGAATGATAAACTGAAATGTTTCTCTATCCATTGTCTAACAACAGTAAATTCATACCTGGGCAAAATATTCTTCAGAAATTCTCCCAGCCCATTCAATACACAATTCTAGGGGACGACATGGATTTGCAACATCTGCACATTTTATCATCATGCGCTTGATCAGTGTCTGGTTATCTGGAAAGTTCTTGAGACTGTTTGTATATTCACAATCACCACTCTCATTCTGGAAAATGGATATTCATAGTGTGGGTTGGCATTACTGCTCATAGTTAGTACATAACGTTATCATAACACTCTGTAAATATGCATTATAATTAAGAAAAACTACGCAGTGCTTGGTGGTTTTGGTGGGAATTCAGGAGTTAGATTTGAGCGAGTGAAGAAGTTACTTCCTTACTTAGACTTATCAGAAGGTACAATAATTTTTTAACTGAAATAATGTGCTACATCTATGGTTTTTCATTGCTTTGGGGTGTAGGTTGGTGGTTGGTTTGTTATTGTACAGTCCTCAGAAAACTGATTATTGGGTGGCCTAAGAATTCATTCTGATGAATTCAAGGTTGTTAGAAAAATATTGTAAACCTCAATTTTTAGTAATAGTGACAATGAATCAACCAAAACAGGGTTGATGAGGGGTTCCTTTTTAGATGTGTCTATCTTTGGTCAATGATTTATTTAAGTCCACTATACAAACACATTTGGGTCCAGTGTGTGTTGCTCCCCACATCTTAAAGTACTTTTAATAATAGAATATTAGCTGCAGACACTACGTTTATTATCTGAGTGAACCAATTGATTTTATGCATGCATTGGCTCACAAGTGTCAAATACCCGAGCAACTCTAGAAAAATAGAAATCCCACTTGAAACTAGGCTGTGCAAAGCTTCAAAATATACTGCACTTTGCTTTGGTGATACCTGAGCACAGCATCCCTTCAGAGCTTCACTGTGAGACAATGTGGCCCCCATACTAGTAACTGTGAAGTAAAGAGTGCAAGTAGCTTCGCTTCACCTTACTTTTAAGGCTTGGACTGGCAGTTCCTATATGCTGAAAAAAATTCTTCCACTGTTGAAACTGGTGACCAAGGCTTCAATTATATAAAATGCAAAGTATTTTTTCTAGGATTGAAAGCTATTCTCTTTTTCAAAAGAAACCAGTATGTTAGATTGCCCTTTAATATGGTTGCCAAGTCATTTATGAGTCTATGGTATAACACATAAGGTATTAGGAGGCAAAGTGTTGAACTAAATATCAGTTGAGCTTTGGTACAAGGATCACTTTGTGCCAGTTAGACTGACTTTGTTCAGGCATTCTTAATGAAGAAGAATAAATTGTGTAGAGAAAAGGGCAGTGTAAAGTTATGTTAAATTTATATTAAGAGGTTTTAGTGCAATCAGATGTTTTGCATGCAAAAAAGAGGTTCCACTCGTACTGTCCACAGGCAAAAATAAGAATCCTGCTAGTTGTTTCTAACCATTAGTGTAGCTATAAGTGACCCCAATATGAAAAATATACTTATTGTAAAAAGTATTTATTGCAAAGGTTTCTCTGACTCTTCATATATTTCTAGGAATCTTTCCACATAGGATATTTATATCAATACAGTTAAGTAAGTAAGTCTCCTAAGTCTGTAGGGATATAAAACTATTGTTTTACCTGGAAATCTAAGGTCTATTTATGCCTTTGTTACTATGTGAGAAAGGGTGCATATTTGAAAGAATACAGTGTTTGGGTTATTCTAAATGCAACATAAGACATATACTCACTGCTAAATACAAACAAGTACCAATCTTCAATTTAGGGTGCTTATATTTACATATTCAGTGATGGCACCATTCATAGAAGAGAAAGAGGATCAGCAGAATCAGAGAACACTAAGGTTTCCAAAACTAACAAACGTTAGAGTGAGCATTTTCAGTATTCAATGAATGCTACCTGACTGAATTTAAAATAAAAAACCAAAGGCTCAGGTTTTGTCTGGATTTTTCTTTGGGGGGGGGAATGGAATGGGGTGAAATGGTTGTAGACCAATTTAGAACCACTGCACATTGCAACATTTTCTTGCAACAGCTCATTTGCTAGACCAAAATGTAAACTCCTTATGCAGCAAGACCTCACTGAAAACTGTAAGACCCATGGCCAGTCAGAAAGAGATAAGAACTAGTTGGGTAAACCAATCTTCTGATTTATCCTGATTTACACTGATTAAGGCCATTTTGTATGATCTCATGTAGCATTCAAAAAGCCTTGAAACACTATTGCTAATAATTTCCAAATTACCCAGTCTTTCCATTTTGATAAAATCTTCAAATTACGAAGAAGAATGTATTACATTAATAATTCAAAATACAAACATTAAAACAGCATAAAAATAAAGAAGGATATACCCTGACAAAATTATGGGCACTTATAGTTTAAAATGAAATGCAAATCTCCCTTGTTCCCATTAGAATACTGCTATCATACGAATGAAAGATAGCCAAAGCTGAGAAAAGCCATCTGACTGAAACGCTTTGGCTTATCCACAAGCCCTGCTGCTTACGTTGGAGTTGCTTTCATCTGAGGACATCGGCTTGATGATGCTGTTCACAAACTTGTTCACGTGCTCAAAGTGCTTTGTCATTTCTGTTGCCAAGACCATGTCAATGATTGCTTGGCGAAGAGTTCGATAATGATTTCTGGAAAGGGAAAGAGCAATCTGAATATATATTGGCAGGATTGATTTCTTTCCTGATTTCCCATTTACTGCGGACAACATTGGCGAATGCATTTTTGACTACACAGGTACTTCCTTGCAGTGCAGCAAATTATGTGTTACTAATACATCCACCCATTTTGACTGCACCACAACTGGGCTTTAGCTTTTGAGGCCCATGCAAGCAGGTGTGGCCAAAGTCAGCAGGCATTTGAAGTGGTCAGAGACTCAAGAGTAGTCATCCTTTGGGCTGGGAGTTAATTCTGAGAGCATATTTTGGCGTGCGCTCATAAAATGGCTGCTGCTGTAAGAGTAAAGCCTGTTCAGTGACAAAATTACTACTTTGGTGAATGTGACCAATCACAAAACATCTACCATATTTATCGGTGTATGACATGCACTTTTTTCCTCAAAATTTGGGGCTGAAATCCTAGCTGCGTGTTATACGCCGATACTCAAGCAGCGGGGCTGGGAGAGTGGAGCCTTCATTTGAGCCAGGGCTGTAACTGGGGCAGCTCTGGAGGTGAGCGGCGGGCGAGTGAGCAAAAACCGGCGCTCTCCAGTGCTCACGGGAGCGTGGTTTTCGCTCGTGCGAGATGGGGAGCGCCAGTTTTCACTCCTGCAAGCGCTGGGGAGCACCGGTTTTCTGTTGCGTGGGCAAGCACTGGGGAGCGCCAGTTTTTGCTTGCTCACCCACCGTTCACCTCCTGTGGAGGTCAGGGGCTCGCGCGAGCGATGGGGAGCACCAGTTTTCTTCCTTCAAAGAGGTGCTTTTTCTTTCATATTACATATTTACCTTATAAGTGGTATAAATATTAATAAACAAAAAGTTCAGAGCTCCCTTTATTTTGCTTCCAAGTCATTTATTTTAAAGTTTTTTTACTCAAACTTCCTTCTTAAAATTAAGGTGCGTGTTATACACCTGTGCGTGTTATAGGCCGATAAATACTGTAATTATTAAAAGGTATAGAGGTATGGCTGTTTCATTCCATTCCTTTTCCCAGTTTATCTTTGTCTTCCTTTTATGGGCAAGTAGGCTCCTTTCTTAGTTGTGGTACTTAGTACTTAGTTGCAGTCACTATTTGATTTTATCCTAAATCTGTCTTGTAAAATACCAGTTGCCCATTTATTTATGTTCTGTGTACTTCATAATTTTATTTTTAATAAAGTTTATATCCTATTGGATTATAAATGTTGTTTACATCACTATTCTGTTAATTTACATTACATATTGTTAATTTATACAATACTGGATTCAGTATTTGTATTTCTTTGGCTATTATGATGTTGGTATTTGGTCTTATTTAAGTTGCTTAACGAAGCAAAAATAAATTCCCCACATTAGTTTTCTGGAACCCACACTATTATGTTCCCTATGTTAAAATAATAAATTATATATCTTTCCACAGTAGAAAGAAATATATTTTCATACTAACAGATCAATTTGCAACATATTTAGTGCATCTGCAAACACATATCTCCAAAATGAAAAGAATTCTGACATTCACATGAGATATAAACGTGAATTTCTTTTGGAATCACGTGCAATCAAATATTTCAGATTTCGATATTCTTGTGAATTGATATTCATGAATTTCAGCACTTTGCTATATTATATATACCAAAACATTAGAGAAGACTAATTTCACACACTACACCCAGATAGATAACTATTCCCAGGCTCGGATCAAAGAGAAGTTAGAAGAACCTAACCTGTTGAGATTTTTAAAAATGTTGCACTTGTTGTCTTTTGCTGTCAGCTGGAAGGCCAGAGCTGTGTGATGGCTTTCTAAGACAGCAGTGTCATTGTAGAGAACAGCCAGTTCGCTGCTTGCATTGCACAAAAAAGAGTTGGTCCGTCCTGGGTGATCTACATCATGAACTGTTGCCGCTATTAATGCAGCCACTTGGTCTAAATGATCAAGGCTTCCCTAGAAGGAAAAATTAAGTCTTTATCAGTTAACACCTGTCAGTCATCAATAGATCTGCATCCATATTTGGATGAATTTAGGCAATATACATTTAACCTAAACCTAGCTTCCTGTAGTTTTGAAATCACTGCTTCTTGACTGATCTTCCTTCTTTCTTGTAAAATGATTGTGTAAATAACACTTGAACGTGGATACATAATTATCAGCACAGGCCATACCTTAACTCTTTCTTTCACCAGAAAAAATGCTGTAGCGTGCAAGACATCTGCTGCGTGAGTGGAGTTATGGTAGGAATTGGAAGAGTGGTAGTTGGCTTCAATCACTTGGAACCATGCTCGCAGTGTGGCTTCTGAACAGTTTAAGAATTCACAGATGCCAAAACGGGAAAAAATTTTCAAACCCAAGTAAACCAATGGCCTGGAACATAACAAGAGAGGAACCAAGAAACAAGATGATGCACTATCGAACTTCCTATGTTTATAGGCTTTGGTTACTCATAGTTTAACTTTATTAGATAAATTATATCACTGCTCTTGCTTTATCATAAGCAAAGGTACAAGTCCCATCTCCCCAAAGATTACCAATTAAATGTTAGCTGAAAGAAATTAGAAAAGGGGGACTAAAGGAAGGAAATGAAGGTCCAAACTACACATTATCTGAAATGTATCTTTGATGTTGTCCAATTCTTTTTCACATGCACAGAAGTTATCACCCCAGCTGCAGGCACCAGTAACAGTTTTCATTCTGTTAGTTAACATCTGGCAGGAAAGGAGTCTTTGCAATGTCAGATGAAAGGATTAGAAAAACAGGTGCCATATTAGCAACATACATTATTGCAACTGAGGGTACCCAAAATTCATGTTTAATTAAATGTGGCTTAAAGAGGGAAGGGTAATAATGAAACTCTTAAATACTCTGTAGCTTAGTCTCAGTTGGGAGTGAGGAAATACAACAACATCTTCATGGAATGAGAAGATTTTGAGGTAAAATCTAGCAGAAAAAAAAGATGTAATTCTGTATAGAAGTCCTTGTAGGAAGTTCCATCCACAAAAGTCACAAGTGATAGAAATGTGATATCATATCTAGGTTTAATCTATAGATTTCAAAGAAACCGTGAATTTTTATGGGAATAGATTTAAAGAATCCACCAAAACAAATTCATCACAGCAACATTTAACAGTCTGCTTAGCAGTTAGTCTATCCTTTTTTTATCAAAAATCCCTTTAAAAGTGTTTATGACGAATATGAAATGTTTATTATGAATCTTCTTGAAACTTACATATGAAATGGAGTAGTCATATTAAAAAAAACTTTACACTATAAAAATTTATATTAAAAAGTCTGGATCTGGGAAACTAACAAAGACAGCATTAATGAAATTTACTTTTAAGCAAATTATTTATGTGGAAATATACAATATCAGCACAGTATTTTAGGGAAAGTTTCATTTAAAAAAACCCTCTGTATTTAGGAAAGCTGTGAATGACAATAAATACTATTCTGTACCACCATAAAGTACTGTCAGCCCCGAATACCATGCTGTTAGCCAGACAGTAAAACATATTTGATTAAGACTGATACATACATTTCCAGAAAACAACAACAAAATGATCAGATGGAATTAAAAAGGATATTTTAGCATATTTAGAATTTACAAACCACTTGCATCTTCACCCAGAAGCACAGAAAGAAGAAACATCTTTGACAGGTCTTACTCTGTGGATATTCATAATCCTGCCAGTGCTAGGTAACACCGCCAAGCCAATCATAAATAAGCCATACAAACTTCATTTATGGCAAAGCTTGTTCATCGATTGCGTGCAACTTTTATTTTTATCCATCTAATGAACACAGACATAAGGCTTGCCTTTTATTTGTAACAGCTTCCAATTCAAAAATGTTGAAGTCCCAGCTCTCTTCATTATCCAGTAAGTGTGCAATGCAGGGTGGAGCATCACTGATGGTAATTGGCACTGAAAGGTGATTGTGGCTCTGGTTCATATCTGTACAAATGGGGAACAGACAGGCTATGATTCTGTAAACATGGATTCACTTGAAGAACCCTTAATAAAAAGAGAGTCTCAAGGCTGAAAGAGAGATGCCAGCATGGAGCAGCCCCGCTCCTGTGGAAAGACATGCAAGACATAGATATAAAATGGGGCTGCTGGAAAGGAGTGCCTTACCTTCTTATATTTTGTATGCTCAATGTTGTATTGTCTGAGCCACTTGCTGATGTTTGATCAGCTGAAAGGAAGGTACTCTGAAAAAGAGGCTGAGGCGACATATGTTCTAGGCTTGGAGAGACTTCTGCACTGACCTTACCTAACCCTGTTTGCCCTCCTTTCTACTCCTACTTACAAAGTGGTTGAGGCCCATCTGTGTTGAACACATTAATGCTATCACATCTAGAGGTAATCTCAAAAGTTAGATTGTGAACTTGGATGCCTGAGAACTTTTCAACATGTGGGTATATAAAATCCGTGCCCTGTCTGATGCATTTTCAGTGCTGATGATTCTGGTCCCAGTGCTACTTTAGCAAAGGTCGACAAGGTGCAGGTAACTCATAATTCTGGAAGAGGGGGTCTAAGGCCATCAGAAGATGCAAAGAGTCTGTTTAATGAAGCCCATGTGCACCTCACGATGCAAACAGATATAGTATCTAGAGGAATATTCAGTCAGCTTTGTACACACAGGTAGTGACTTCAGTATATACACTGCTCCCTTACTGGATTGAAGCCGGCAGTAGATTCTACTTCATGGAAATATATGTAATAGAGAATCTGCTGCTAAGGTTCAGGGCTCTGAGACAGGTGCCTTCAGTGTCTTCTACATTCCTGGATGTTTTATTCTTCCCCTTCCTAGTTTTATATGCCCTCCCCAGTTCTCTTTCTCTTCTGCCTTTCTGCTCCTTCCTGCCCCCAAGCAAGAGCATTATTCTCTGTCCTTTCTCAGTGGATAATTTTGATCTTTAATGCATGTACCAGGAATTTGGTTTCTCCTCTCTACGCAATCTGCATTTCAGTCTTTATTCCTGCCCATCATTTTTTCCTGCTTTCTATGCATGTTAACAGGAGTGTCAGGAGTGGGAGGGCAAAAAAGTCAAGATAGCAGCCACACACACACAATCAAAGCCCCACTCCTTTTTCTTTTTTTTGGCGGGTGGGGGAAAAATGGCAGACTGACGCGCCTCTGTAAACAGTGAAGACAACACTGTGGCAAAGACCGGCGGCTGGGCTTTAAGCCCCAGTCAACAGCACCTCTCCAGATAAGGAGAGGCTGGGAGATTTCCCACTTCTGCTCAGAAAGGCTGCTCCTCATGAGGAGACTCACAAGATCTGAAGAGGTTCTGCAGGCTTCTCATGAGTCTGAGCATCAGAGGCTGCGGAAAAGACAGCAAGTTCACAGCTGCAGTGGAGCCTGCAAAAGGACATTGGGTTTGCAAAAGCCCCCACTTTCTTAAACACATTTGGAAGACAATTATTTCAAAGTTAAAGAGAGATCTTTGATGTAGCAGAGCAATCAGGCCACCCCAGTGAGTGCTCCTTCATCCCAGATTAAAGATAATCTTTAACAATTTAAAGGATTTAAAATTAATTAAAGGCAAAAAGCTTGCTTAAAGTTTAAATTATGAAAGTTTAAAATGGACTAAGGGGACAGTTGAATTTGGATTTACTGATTTTAAAGTATTTTTAAAACAAGTAAACAATATCTATCTATCTATCTATCTATCTATCTATCTATCTATCTATCTATCTATCTATCTGAGTTTTATTTGGACTAATTGTGGACAACGATTGGACAGCTTTGCAAAACAAAAGATAAGGCAAAGTTGCTAAAGACCATCTGACTACAGAGCTACAGTGTTCTGAATGGGACTAAAGAATGATTTAGAGAAAGGGGGGGGAAGTCCCTCTTTTATTTTTATTTCCCCTTTCTGGATTGAAATGGCTGTTATTAGAAAAGTAGTGAAACTTACAGAAATGACAGGAAAAGGTATTATAATCACTTGAGACATTCCAAAGGATCTTTGAGGAATTGGGAAAGAATGTTATAGCTACAATTATGGCATCAATAACTGCCTATGTGAATGCATCATTTAAAAGAGATCTGAAAGAAGAGATAAAAGAAAAGATGAAAGAAGAATCTTCAGGACAACTGAGTGGAGAGGCGAAACAAATTAAAGTCAAGGTGGAAATTTTTGAAAATAAAATAGAAACAATAAACAGAGAGGAAGTACAAATATTAAGTCAAGAGATGAAAACTGATGCAGATAATGGATTACTACTGGATTTACAAGAGAAAGAATCCTGTTTGAGATCAAGAGTACTTAAAGAACAACTTGGTGAAAATAATGAGAGGGCTGTTGAAGCCTTAAACATTTTTTTAAGATGGGAGGAAGAAGTTATGGATGGAGATCAGGTTCTACAACAACCTATTAATGTCAAGTTAAGGATTAATAATGCCAGAATACTACATTAGAGAAAGGAATACAAAATTGACTTGTCTGATCAAGGATAAGACAGTAAGTCTATTTGCAAAATGCTGGAAAAACTTTATGAACTTTTTGCTGAAAATGGATAGAACTGAGTTAATGATTTTTGGATTTACTGATTGAAACGGGTTGGATATGGAAAGAAGTGATGTATGTAATGTAGTTTCAAAGGGGGAGGGGTGATATTAAGTCTGTAACTGCTGTAAAAAAGATTGGAAGTCACTTCTTTAAATATCTTTTTCTTTCTTTTTTTTCTTTTTCTTTTTTCTACTTTCTGCACTTTCTATTTTTTCTTTCTATTTTTCTTCTCTTTATTTTTCTTTTTTCTCTTAATCTTATTTTGTATTACCTTTTATTTTTGTTAAAATTTTAATAGTTTTTCTTTTTAAAAAAAGACCCACTCCTTTTTTATGTGCATTATGTAAAACACCCAACACATGTAAAAAAGTGGCAGAGGTCTGAATGCACAGTCACAACCATCAATTTGATTTTTTTCACCCCTACCTGCACATGCTCTTCACATTGCTAATAATACTGCCATCTTTTTAATGAATTCTTCTATAAGAAAAGTTCTTGCACTGCTAAAACAGACAGTAAAACTAGATGAATTTATACTGATTTGACGAGCCTTACAAATAAATCCAGAAGTTTGAATTGTCTTGTCTATGGCTTCTGATTAAATGGTCCAAGGATTATTTCTTGTATTACAGCAAAAACATTCTTTATGTTTTCATAAAAGCTTAATGAATATTTTCTGTCTACTGTACTACAAGACGTTTTGGGAGATAGGAAGGGATAAACATATCTTTCCAAATGCTGTGTGAAAACCTATTACATCTAAACTCTTCACACACCAAATTCAATAGATAGTTAGATAGGAAGGGTTTTGTATTCCTGATTTTTCAGTAAAAGCAACTTTTCTGTAATATTGGCAGTGAATGAACAGACAAAAAGAGTTTAACATGGAAACTTACTTTTAGAAAATACATACTCATTTCCTGACAGTTTTTTCAAGCCATCCTGAAATAAGGAAAAAAGAAAAGCTACAACACAGCATTCCACATACCAAGGGAAAAAAGAGGAAATTACAGTCCAATAAATATTATAGTTAAACAGCAAGATAAGGATATTGCTAATAGATACTCTATGCAATATAAATGTTATTTTTAAAATGATCAGAAAACTGTCTATATGTCTATATAAATTTTCAACATAACCTGCAAAAAGTGGTAACTGAAAATGCAGTGCAACCTGAATCCTATCCAATATTTAGTGAGCATTATTTTATTTCTTCAAGAGCTGGCACAGAAGGTACTGATTTTTCAATTAAAAAATGACAAAGTAACAACTAATTTCTTCTAGCACACTTTCCAGCATTCATAAAAGTAAGATGTGGGTTTACCAAATTTTCATCACAAATCTCAGCTCATGGATTTCATGAAAGGCTATTCTTATGAGTAATCAGAAGACATCTCTCATGACATTCTATTCTCCTTAGGGCTGATAATCTAACACTGTTTCCTCCTGCAATTACTATGGCCACTTGTAACTACTTCTTATTATGTCTTCAGTGGAGGAGAACAGCAAAAGGACCCTTTGTGTGACCTGTTCATGTGACCCTGGATTCCAGCCACCAATTGTACTAGTGAAACTAATGATGTAATTTATGTCTCTTTACTCACAGTCATCAGACCTCCAACAAGATCACTAGTATGAGGGTCATCATCTTTGGTTCCTAATTGTGGAGAATAAAGTTCTGTTGTTCGTAAGATTTCCAACACTCTATCCAAGGCCTCTGCTACAGTCACAGGGCTATTCTCTTGAGCTGAATTGATTATATTAATAACCTGTAAGATTATAAATAAAAAAGAAATAGCAAAGCCATTGTTGCTTTCCATCCATTGTATTTTTAAAATCTGTATGAAATATTGAGTGATCATGTAAAACAGTTGTCAACTGAATAAAGGAGTTGGCTTTTAAAATGGTTAACTAATTATTCAATCAATTAAATTAAAATATAATTGCATATTATGAAAATTCACTGTAACTGACTTTGGGAGATATTTGAAAAAAGTGCAAAACAACCAACAATACATACAATAGAAACTCTTATTTATAGTAAATACCATCCTTGCTATTCGGATACACCATCTGTATGTGACATAAACTGATATTTCAATAGGCATGTATAAGAATAGATGTGCTCATTTTTTGAAAAGGATTGTTGATGTATAAAATGACATCAGAAAGTCTTTGTCTCATACCTTTGTAATTGGAGCTTCTATTGTCATGGAATGGATTCTTGCTATAGATGAATATCGATGATTCTGTAAACTTGGTGCTGTATTAAACAGAAAAAAATTGGGCTCTTTAAAAAAGATAATTTTAAAAAAGCTACTTTCTTATACATTACATTATTTTAAATTAGGTGGGTCCAAATACTAAGATATGTTCTAATGTTTATATTACATATACAGGTAGTCCTCACTTACTGACTGCTCGTTCAGTAACCATTCAAAGTTACGACAGTGCTGAAAAAGGAGATTTAGGACCAGTCCTTGAAGTTGTGGCTGTTGCAGCATTCCTGTGGTCATGTGATCACAATTTGGTTGCTTGGCAACTGGCACACATTTACGACGGTCACAGCGTCCCATGGTCATGTGATCACCATTTGCGACCTTCACTGCCAGCTTCCAACAAGCAGAGTCAATGGGGAAGCTGGCAGGAAGTCACAAGTCATGGTCATGTGATGTCTCAGTCAATGACCAGGGGTGATTCACTTAACAACCACAGCCAGAACTGACAAACTGACATCATACGTTGGGCACAGTCACATGACATTTCATTTTATAACTGTGTTGCTTAGCAACAGAGTTGCCGGTCCCAATTGCAGTCAGTAAATGAGAACTACCTATATGATTAAAGAGTAAGAAATTACCTATTTTTCCATTTGTTCAAACTCATCCTGTCTCTTCTTGCTATTCAATAGCCCAGAGGGTTGGAAACAGGTTATAATAAAATATTAGATCAAATGCCATTTACTTAAATCATCAGTTGCTATTCCTTTTAACACAGAGCTGTGAATAATGTCTTCTGCATATTTCATTTCTTACCATCACTGCTTCGAGAAGTTATTGATTTAACATCAATGGATTCTTTCCTTCTGTTCTTGCATCTGAAGGAGTGAGAGTCTATAAATATTAAAGGAAGGTATTTCAAAAGGGGTAGAATTTATTTTCACAGCCACATTTTGCTCCCGTATTAAAAGACTGACTTTTAACTTGTCTCTCAAATACAGAACAGAAATTAAAAATGAACACTTCCACAACTAGATGAGAAAGGATAACACAAAACAAAGAAACCAACTTCTTTAATTTCCCAGTTTCAAAGCCAATTTTTACTATTGCCTTACTATATGCTAAACTTGATTTGATTTAAAGATCATGTGCTGCTAAAACTAAAAAAAACTACAAGAGGAGTAACTGGGAATGCATTAAGCCCATGAGTTTGTACATGTATTATTTTATAAGTATCTTCTCCAAAGGAATGGCATTTAGCCACAATATGCATGTATGTATGTATTTATTCATACCATTTATATAGCCACCCCATTTCACACAAGTGACTGAGCATCTTACAGGATTAAAAACAACCCCCCCCCAAACATAACCTCCTTGACTCCAATAAACAATTAATTATTAAACATCCACACGAGCAGAGCTCATCTCTACCCTGGCCCAAATGCCTGGGGGATCAGCCAGGTTTCAATGTCTTGCGAAAGGCTAAAAGATTCGGGCCATCCAAATCTCCGAGGGATGGTGTTCCACAGAGCAGGTGCAGCCACTGAGAAGGCATGACTCCAGGGTCCAATGAGATGACATTGTTTAATAGGAGGGACCCAGAGCATGCCCTCTGTACTAGAACTGGTGGGGCAGGCAGAAACAATAGGGGAAAGGCGGTCCTGCAAGTAGTCTGGCCCTATGCCATACAACCATAATCTATGCCCTTCTCTTAATGTCAATCTCTTAATGCCATATTCTTCAATCTTCTTTCAATATTACTGTATTTTTCCGACTATAAGACGATACTTTTTTCTAAAATCCTTACCCTAAAAATTGAAGG